CTATCTTCCCCTTCTGATTTACCCTGCTCAGGAGAAATTGGTTCAGCTTTAGGAGATTGTGTACTGGGATCCTCATCCCCTGAATCCTCATCACTGTCACTTTCAGAACTTTCTTTAATTTGTGGCTTTTCTTCCTCAGATTTCACAAATTTATCTGTATCATCAGAAGATAACACAACCTCTGAATTTCCATGTAAACGAACCCAACCATCTTGCTCACAAAACTCTGCATGTCTTGATATTACAACTCTGCCACGCCCTAGTGCAAAACGATACCCCTTTGACCAAGTTTGATAGCCAACAAACCTAAGTTTCTTTGCCTTGGGCTCTCCTTTCCTTCTCTGTCCTTTTGGGATGTGAACCCAAGCCCAGCAACCAAAAGTTTTAACATGGTCCAAAAAGGGTTTTTTCCATAAAGCAAAAAATGAGGGGTGTTGTTTATGGTAGAATGAAACAATCTGTTCTGTATGTAGTTAGCACACAGAATTCCTTCCCCCCAATACTTCCTGGATAGGCCAGAATCACATAGCATTGAATCTAGCATTGTTTGTAAAGATCTTATCTTGCGTTCTGCAACTGAATTTTCTTCAGGCGAAAAAGGACACGATTTACGGTGACTAATACCACGCTTTTTCAACCAAACTTGGAGGGCTTCGGACATGAACTCGCCTCCACGGTCACTTTGCAACTGGGTAACTTTGTAGGGAAACTGCCTTTCTATATAGTTGATCCAATTCTTAATCAGTTGACCAGTTTCACTTTTGTGTTTTAACAAATATACCCAAGTATACCGGCTATAATCATCCACAAGAACCAAAAAAAACTTTGCTCCTCCTTCAGACTCTGCAAATGGCCCACAAAAGTCTGAATGTACTAAAGCAAATGGCCTCTTGCTAATTCTAGTACTTTCAGGATAAGACCCTCGCTTACTTTTAGACTCCTTGCAGGTATTGCAGTCTAGAAAAACTGAACATTTTTTCATTTTAATTCCCTTGCTTAATTCTGGCATTTTTGCAATACTGCGGAAATTGGCATGCCCCAAACGACGATGCCACAGATGCTGGCACTCATCATGCAAGGCTCTATTACAGGCTTTAACACATGCCCCAGACTCACTTACTAGCTGGTCTTTCAAAACAAACAAACCATTTTGTAGTGACGCTGTAACCACTTTTCCAGCTTTCTCTATTCTACAGCCTGAACCAGAAAAGGTTACTTTAAATCCCTGCTTAACAAGACTTGTAACTGAAAGCAAATTATTTTCTAAACTTGGTACACATAAAACATTGGTAAACTTGGTACTTAAACAGTTGATATTCACACTACCCTTTCCAGCTGACTCATGCACTGTTCCATCAGCTAGTACTACATTTACAGATTTACAAGGCTGCTTTTCTACAAGGGTTTGTGCAGACTTAACAAAAATGTTTGTCGCTGCTGAGTCTAAAATCCAGTCTTGTCCAACGTCGTGACTGGTGCCTCGAACTGCTGCAGAAACATACTGGACTCGACTCTTCCTGTCTCCTCGCTTCCCAGCAAACGCAGGCCGCCCTTGTCTTGTATTTTCTCCCACAGACACAGTGCACTGTCGTACTAAATGCTTGGTTGACCCACAACGATAGCATCTTCTAACTGTGAACGCTGCTTCCTCTCTGTGGTCTACAACCTCTTTAGGTTGCCGCTCCTCATCAGTTGCATATCTTTTACTGGACTGCCTCCCATTTCTGGAGTTACGGTGAGGGGTTGTGGCCTTCCTCTCATGGCGTCTTTCCTCCTCATCAAGCAAACGCCCAGTTAAGAAATGCATTGTTAATTGGCTTTCTGGGATTGCTTCCAGAGTCATCACTAAATTGTCCCATGACTCAGGAAGTGAAGACAGCACAATATAAACTTTTCTCTGTTCAGAAAAATGTTCCCCAAGTTCATTTAACTGTGAAAATAAATCACGCATTCTTTGAAGATGTGTTGAAACACATTCACCCTCACTTAGTCTGGCTCGGTACAGAGCTCTCGTTAGAGTAATTTTGCTGCCAGCAGTGTCTCTAATATGTATTGCTCTCAGTGCTTGCCAAATCTCACTTGCTGTTTCAAGGTCTCGCACATGAGATAACTGAGACTTCTCTAAACTCAAAATTAAATTGGCATAGGCTTTGTCCTCCAGCCTTTGGTCTGCTTCATCTACTTCTTCATCCTCCTCTTTTACAGGAGGGTCAACAATAACAGTCCAACATTGTTCTTTCTTTAAAAACGCCTGCATCTGTAAACTCCATGACATATAATTGGACTCTCCCAGTTTCTCTACTGGAAAATAGGAAGCTCCCCCTTGAGCTCCAGCTCCAAGTCCAGCCATGGCGCCACCCAGCTTTCAGCTTTCCACTCAGTTCTTACTCACACGTGGCTTGAAGAAATGTTCGGCTCCTGGTCCCAAACAGACACTCCCTGCCGATGCCTTCACACAGCCAGCTGCTTGAGAAACGCTGAGTTGCTTCCAGTCTCTGGGTTCTTTTCACGCTCTGTCTCTGCCCACTCAGGACTGGGGACTGGGCCCATAACCTGTTGGAGGGGGATTTCCAGCCGGTGGCAGAGGACAGAGTGACTCCAGGAGACATAGGTGTAAAAACCCAAACAAAAACGAAGACCTTATTACTAAGCAAATAAACACAAACTCTGGTGGATGTTATTCCTGCAGGCAGGCAACAAAACTCAGCTTTTTCCTTTATAGCAACGGTCACCTGCAGCCAATTAATCCCAGAAACTTCTTAAAGGTATACACACATGTTTCTGTGCCGAATGTCCTCTAACAGTTTTTGTAAAAGCAGGCTGGCTACAGTAAACTTAATTTATCACACGTACACCCCCCCAAAAGAAAATACCCAATGATGTTTATTTATAGTAATATTTGCATCCTGATGTGCCATATCTCAAAGTGGTTTGCAGCAATAAAAGCATAGAACCATAATCAGGAGAAAAAACATTCTGGGAAATGATATATAATGAAATGGGGGGGGAATGTTTAAACTAACCTTTATTTAAAAGAAAAACAATAGAAGCTTTCTTATTAGGAGTTATAGGTACTGACATCCCAAAGGAGCAGAAAAGGCTTTTAATGTATGGGACAAGAACCGCTCAGATGTTAGTAGGCCAGAGATGGAAAGAAGAAAAAGGAATGACAAGCTAAGCTGATGGCAAAATTGTCCAGAAAGCTCAGGAACCAAGAAGACAAAAACTTCAATAAAGAATAGGGAACATTTATTATTTATCCAGGAGACCACTGCAAGCAGAAGTAAACACTAGCAGGCTTTTAATAACGCTTGTAATATAGCAAATATCATGGACAATATAGAGAGATATAAAATATGGACTATGAAATATGGTCTATGAAAAAATGGACTATGAAAGAATGAACCATAAGGAAGACTGACCACCAAAGAATGGATGCTTTTGAATTCTGGTGCTGGAGGAGACTCTTGAGAATCCCATGGACTGCAAGAAGATCAAACCTCTCCATTCTGAAGGAAATCCGCCCTGAGTGCTCACTGGAAGGACAGATCCTGAAGCTGAGGCTTCAATACTTTGGCCACCTCATGAGAAGAGAAGACTCCCTGGAAAAGACCCTGATGCTGGGAAAGATGGAGGGCAGAAGGAGAAGGGGACGACAGAGGACGAGATGCTGGGACAGTGTTCTCGAAGCTACCAGCAGGAGTTTGACCAAACTGCGGGAGGCAGTGGAAGACAGGAGGGCCTGGCGTGCTCTGGTCCAGGGGGTCACGAAGAGTCGGACACGAGTAAACAACAAATGAAATCACATGCAGTTGAAAAGCTTGATAATAGGACCCATGGAGGGGAGGGTGGGAAGTCTGGAGATTCAGATAAATCTCGAAAAATGGATATGTACTTTGTATTGTTATAAATCTACACTTGTACAGTGGTACCTCGGGTTACATACGCTTCAGGTTACAGACTCCGCTAACCCAGAAATAGTACCTCGGGTTAAGAACTTTGCTTCAGGGTGAGAACAGAAATCGTGCTCTGGCAACGCGGCGGCAGCAGGAGGCCCCATTAGCTAAAGTGGTGCTTCAGGTTAAGAACAGTTTCAGGTTAAGAACGGACCTCTGGAACGAATTAAGTTCTTAACCTGAGGTACCACTGTACAATCAAAAATCATCTGGAAAAAAAGACTAATATATAATTTAAAAAACACAAAAACCCCACCATTAAACAGTTAATAACAGACACCAGTTAGCCATTACAAAATATAAGAAGAGTTCTTCTGGATTCGACCAAAGGACAATGGAGACCAGGATCCTATTCTCACAGCAGCCAACCAGATGCCTGCAAGCAGGATCTGAGCACCAGAGCAACTCCCTTCTGCAGTTTCCAGGCTCTGGTATTCAGAAGCTTTGTTGGCTCCGACTGTGGAAGGGGACAATATCCTGGCAAGTTGCTGCTGACAGCCCCCCAGGAATTCCTCTTTTAAAGCCCCTGTGGAAGGATGCGTTCCATGCGCTGGATGAATCCCCCTTGAGCTCTGCTGAACCTGATGCCTCCCTCTCTCCTAACATCCGATGTTCCGGGGAAGTTGGCAACAGGTAGAAGCCATGCCAGGCTGCGCCTCTCCTTCGAATCGTAGGGTCCCTAGGGGTCATCTAGTCCAACCCCCCCCCTGCGATGCAGGAGTCATCCCTGACAGATGGCCCTCCAGCAAGGAAGGAGATCGCCCGCCACCTCTCCTGGGTTGGTTGGGGGAGCCTTTTCCGCAGCCGGGCAACGGACAGGTAGACTGCTCCTGGCCAGTGGAGGCTCCACCGACCCCTGGCGACCTCAGCGGCGAGAGTAATCTCCCTGGTGAAGAAGGAGGGGAGAGATCTGGTGGCGAGAGATCCACTGCGGCTTCCTCGCCCCATCCTTCCCTCCCTCCCTCCCTCCTTCCCCTGTCCTTCTCCCCGCCCTCCTCCGCCCCTTCTCCATCCCCTCCTAGGGGCGGTCCGGGGGGCGGGGAGCCGGCCGGCTGGCTGGCTGGCGCTGCTGGAGCCGGGACGCTCCGCTAGTGTCTCCGCGGCTCCCGGCAGCTGCGAACGAGCCAGCCGAGCAGGGCGGGCGCCCCACTCCTTCCAGCTGCCCCCCAAGCCCAGCCCCCCAGCCCAGCCCAGCCATGGCCGAAGGAGGCGGCGAAGGAGAGGACGACGTCCAGTTTCTCCGGACAGTGAGTCTTGAATTTTTGGAGGGGGGGGTGATGGAGGAGAAGGAGGAGGAGGAGGAAGATTTTGGGGAGGGAGGAGGGGAAAAAACACAGGAAAAAAGGGAAAGGGGGAGAGGAGGAGAGCAGGCGAAGTGGGGCGCGTGAAATTAGGGGCGCAGGGAAAAGGCAGCGCAATGCTAGTGAAGGTGGGAAGTTCGGATGGGGGGCGCGCCCTATAACCCCACTTCCCTGGCAGCGAGCCCCACGGAATTCAAGGAGACTTGCTTTCCTTGGAGGAGGCGTTAGGATTGCGCTGTGGGGCAGGGGCAGGTTGGGGTGGAGGGCTGAAGGACGAGTTGTGGGGTGGAGGCAAGGAGGGCCCTGTATCGAGGGGGTGCAAAGTTTGGTGTTCAAGATGGGGATGGAGTTTGAAGGGCAGGGCGAGCCTGGGGGAGAGACCCCTGGCTGGGGAGAGGTGGGGGGCTCGGTTGCATCTGGGGGTGACCCCTCCATGTGCCTACGGAGCTCTGGCTCTTTCCAATATGTTCGGTGACCTTCCTCAGGTCTGATCCTCCTTGCCAGCCTTTCCCAACCCGGTGCCCGCCAGGTGTTTTCGGACCACGCAACATCTGGAGGGCACCAGTTTGGGGACACCTTCCTGCTGTGTTGCTTGTGTGTTCAGGCAACTAACCTTTAAAAAAGAGGGAATAATACTTATGGGGAGGAGAGAGAACTGAGGAATCCTGCACGCTTCAGAAAAGTCTTCGGAGTGCTGGTTTCCTTCCTTTAAAAATAAAATAAAAACAGGGGCCTTTTGTCGAACGTGAATTTGGGGCTTGGCAGGGCGCCGGTGTGATTGGCAGGCAGGCGTTCTAAACGGCAGAGGTAAATTAATATCGGCGAGCAATATTCAGGCACCGTCCTGAGCAATTTGGGTGAGGGGATCCTTTCTCCTGGACCCTCAGCCTCTCTGGGGAGGACCTCAGGGAGCAGGTTAGGGGCCTTGATCTCCCTCCCTCCCCCCTCTCTCCCCCAGCGGGGGCTAAATTTAGAGGCAGCCCTGTTGTCCGTGGGACGTCAGCCACCAATCTGCCTTGGAACAGGTGGTACCCACAGTCGGGTTGGATCCCACCCAGTTCCTCAATTCCCCCTGCTCTGCCCATTTCTATGTATGAACCCAAGGCAGCTCAAAGGTCCATCTGGCCCAACATCTGGCCGATGGGGTGTTCGGCTGCGGGGCAGGAAGGCCGCAGATCCTGCCCAATCTTCCTTTTCCTTTCGCCCCCCCCCCTCCCCAAAGTCTTTCTCCCTTTGGATCGGGAGGATCTACCTGTTGAGCTGTGGATCTGTTTTGCTCAAGCTCAGGCTGTCCATTCCCTGTCCCTAAATAATTTAGGCCCAAGAGGTTCTGCTCACTGCGGTTTCCTTGGGGCAGAGCCACCACGCATGGAGGACAAGTCCATTGATGGCTACTGGCTCTGCTTTGCCTCAAGGGCCAGGGGCAGCAGTGGTTCTGAATCTCAGCTTCTGGAAGCTCTTGGGCTCAGGTCGGCTTCCCAAAGGCATCTGGTCGGTCCCTGTGCGGACAGGATTCTGGAGTAGATGGGCTACTGGCCTGATCTGACAGCCAGACTCTCCATATTTTCTTAATATCTGGCCCTGAGAGGTCTCCACGACCTGCACAGAAAGCGATGGCTTAGGAGGGAGAATGCAAGGTTGTGCAAAAGGGGGAATTCCCTGTTGCAGCAGGGAACTGTGGCTGCCAATGGGCTCCTGTGTCCGTACGCTCTGGGTGGCATGGGGTTAACGCCAATCCTTTCCTAGCCTCTCCGGTTACTAACCTTTATTTATCCTGGGCTGACAGCTGGGCGCCATTCATCACAGGGTGGCATCTCAGGTTTAGGGCGGGAGTGGTGGGGGTCAGGGAAAGGTGCTTGCTTGGGAGGGTTGCTCCCTCAAAGGGTTAAACCGGGTCTGGGCTGCAAGATGATCTTTGGTCATAGACTGAGCACATAGAGGGGGCAGGAGACCTCCTTTCTCTTTGATCAGGCCTGATAGTTGAGTCCCCTAGTTGGAACCACACTGCTTCCCTCTCCTCCACCCCAATGAATCATGGGAATTGTAGTTTAAGAGTGCTACCAGCTGTAGTTCTCTGAGGGGTCAACCCCTGTTCCCAGGGTTCTTTGGGAGAAACCATGTGTTTCAGGTGCACAGTGCGGATGTTTCTTGCGATTCATTTGTGGGGTGCGGATGGATGTTGCTTGGCTGGTCACAACAGGTAGCAGTAGAAACCTGAGCTTGAAGGCAACGTCAGAAGCTCAGATATCTAAGCTTGGCGCCACACGGATTCTCAAAACCAAGGTTGGGGTTGCCAAAATGGAACGCCCATTTGCCATTTTGGGGCAAAACCTCTCAAAAGTCTCATTTTTCAAATGATGGACTGACTCAGATAACATCTGGCTAGTTCAGAAGGACTACCTTGAGCTAGGTTCAAGAGTTTTGAGAACTTACAAGAAGAAAAGTCCCTCGATTTAAGGACCTTCCACATATATATCGGCCAGTTCCGACCTCTTTTTCTGAATGGTGACTGCTCAGTCTGCACAGAAAAAAGCATTTTGGTTCCAGAAATTAATTCCGATGGCCCAGATAAATTAAAAACTGATAGAATTCTACAAGATTGGGTATTAGGGCGTGTCAAGATCCAATGTTCCTGGCATCCAGGCAACTTCACCTGGTCACAAGTGGTCGAAAGCCAGGTGCCAAATGCTCCTGGCGACTGGCTAATTTCGAACACAGGCTGCAGGATAGCATAAACTATGGAACTCACTCCCACTTGAGACAGTGATGGGTGCCAACTTGGATGAAACTTAAAAGAGGGTTGGACAAGTTTGTGGAGGGAGGCGGCTATGGGTGGCTCCTAGCCAGGATAGCAATGTTCTGCCTCCATCGCTGCAACAGGCAATGCTTCTGAATCGCAGCAGCTGGAAACCACAGGCACTTGTGGTCAGATCCTGCTTGCACAGGCATCTGGTTGGCCACTGTGTACTAGCCTGGGTGGGCCATTGGCCTGTTCTTAAGGGTGCAGGCATGGATCTGGGTATTTGTCTAGGGAGCATGGAAGGAGGAGGTCAAAGACATTTTTAATCTAAGATGCTAAGAAGAGCCTTGTCTCTGGATTAGGCCCATCTAATCCAGCGGCCAACCATTAACAAACTACAGTTTGTACCCTTAACAAACTACAGTTATCTGAAGAAGTGTGCATGCACATGAAAGCTCATACCAATAACAAACTTAGTTGGTCTCTAAGGTGCTGCTGGAAGGAATTGGCTTAGGGCCCTCATATTTACGGGACCGCCTCTCCTGGTCTGCCCCACAGAGGACCTTAAGGTCCATGAATAACCATAGGTTAGAGGTCCCGGGCCCTAAGGAAGTCAGACTATCCTCCACCAGGGCCAGGGCCTTCTCAGTGATGGCTCCGACCTGGGGGAATGCTCTGTCCCAGGAGACTAGGGTCCTTCAGGATTTAACCTCCTTCCGTCGGGCCTGTAAGACAGAGCTATTCCGCCTGGCCTTTAATTTGAATTCAGCCTGATCTTCTATTTCCCTTCTCTTCCCTCCCCTTTTATGAAGATTTCCCTTTCTAAGACCCCACAGCTAATTCTCCCCTGGCCTCCTCGCTGGCCCAAGTAGGACTAATTCAGCCAGCTAGCCCTGGGGATTATCTAATGCTTATTAGATGGATTTCCCCTAAATTGATTTCTGAACTTTGAATTTTATTGTTATTCATGTTTTTATACTATATTTTATGCTGCTTTTACAATTAAGTGTTTTGAATTTGTTGTTAGCTGCCCTGAGCCTGGTTTTTGAACCGGGAAGGGCAGGGTATAAATAAAAATTTATTATCATTATTACAGTTCCCAGAATTCTTTGGGGGAAGTCATGTGCTTTAAACGTGAATTGGCTGTTTTTTAAAAATGTATGGTGTGGATCTGCCCAAAGTCTTTGAGTCTCTCCATCCTTTGCCTGGCCTCCTCCAGTCCAGTTCCCACATGAACTGAGACAAAAATATTTCATTCTCCCTCCGTACCACCAGCAGAAGACCTGGCAGATTCCTAAAATGATCTTCCAGAAGCACAGCAGCAGAAACTAATTTAGAACAGTATAAGCTATGTGAGAGTCAGTAAGAATTATTTGAAGAAGCCTTTGCAGAACCAAAAGATCTCCACAGCCGATCAAACAAAGAATCTGCTGGCTTTCCCCTAGCATAGCTGTCAACCGTCCCTTATTTGGCGGAAAAGTCCCTTATCCCAGCGCCGTGTCCCGCTGCTGTCCCTTATTGGCGATGTCCCTTAAATTTCCCGGGTTTCAAAAGCAAGCAGCTCCTCTCCCTCCCTCCCTGCCGGCCAGGGAGGAGGGAGGCTTCAACTGTGTTGCTTGGCTGCGTTGCTCACCCAATAAGGAGTCTAAGAACGACGGGGGGTGGAGCTTGCGTGCCTTGTGCCATCAAATCGGCCGCGTTGCCTGGGGACTCGCCTTTGCTCAGCGCTTCCCAGCGGAGAGGTGACAGTGGTTTTCCTTGCTGCATCCCCTTTGCTGGGTTGCTGTGCTGTGGGAACCATCGCTTGAGGCTTCGTTTGGCTGCTGGCTGACAAAAATCCCTTATTTTGGCTGCTGATCCCTTATTTTCGAGGCTGCTAGTCCCTTATTTTTAAATCTGTAAGTTGACAGCTATGTCCCAGAACCGCACATCACAAGGCCCTGTCCCCTGGGTGCAACCACGACTACATTTTCCCAACACAGTTAAAGTGTTAGGTTGCCACTTTAAACAGTCATGGTTTGTCCCTAAGAATTCTGGGATCTGTAGTTTGTGAAGGGAGCTGAGAATTGATGGTGGACCCCTTTATTCCCCTTGCAGAACTACAACTCCCAGATTCCCCTGGGAAGAGGGTTAGTCATTAAACCACTCTGGGACATAGCTGTCAACTTTTCCCTTTTCTTGCGAGGAATCCTATTCGGAATAAGAG